GAGCTAACGTCTTTCATGGTATAATAAGCACAAACTGAGCTAAGGAACATCTACTCTGGCTAGCAGGAAACAGAAACGAGAGAACTCTGAGCTGGCCAATGAAATCCAATGCTAGGAGCTCTATCTTCAGAAACATTAAAACCACCCTGTATCAACCTTAAGAATGGGATGTATTTTTGAAAACAAGTCTGAAATGACAATAAAAATACACTGAGAGACTTACTCTGGCTTTTGAAGGATCATTTTTCTATATAATGTGTAACTATGACTGCAAAAATTGAAGATGCAATTGGACGGTTGAGCTTTGTAGAAAGATCTACCTCTGGGACCAGCAGTTAGAGTAATGGCTATGTTGCTGGACTCCCATATAGTCAACCATGGTTTGAGTCCTGGACCCAGTGGCTTAAACTCATGCTGGGTGCATGTGCGTGTGTGCCCCAGATCCTGAGAGGAGAATGGAGGAGAAGGGATTGTGGTGTGGCCATCTCCCCTGGGGGCTGATCTCTCGCTTTCTGTCTCACTGTCTCTCTCTGTCTTTCTGGTGAGTGCATGTGCCCTATAGCAAAAAATTTGTCAAAAAAAAAAAAAAAGATCTACCTCTAATGTAAAGAATCGTACAGTATATATATATATAATGATTCCATTTATCTGTCTATCCATTTATCAAATACCTGTCACCTATCTCTGGATAATTGTGTACATAAATTTATCTGTATATTTTATTTACCTATACAATATCTGTCCAAGTAACTAAATGAGAATGATTTTAGGTTCTCCAAGTGATGTTGGTTTTCTGATTTCCACACATGACAAGATAGTGTAGACTGGCTTTATGACTTAGGCTGACTTCCTGCACGGATCCTCAGCATCACGCAGGTAATTTAGGAGGAAGAGGCCTCCCTGGGATAAAAATAAGTGCACATGCTGCAAAGATTTTAATATTCTCATTCTTCTGGCAGCCCAGGAGTTACTGTGACATAACTCACTAAAGATGTAGGATGAGTCCCCCTTTCTGTGACAATTCCTTTTTTCCTTCCTTAGCGTTTCTTTTTCCATTCATTCTGGAGAGACACGGCCACTGTGAAACAACTCACAAATACTTGCAGATAGTATTGGCATTACAAGCTTTCTAAATGAATAGGTGTTTAAACAACATAGATTAAAAGAGTAATGTGTAAAGAATAATGTTCATTGTCTCAGATTGGGGTGTACAATATACAAAGACACTATAAAAAATTGATATATTGTCTTCATCTCCTTAGAATACAAGGACGATTTATCTCGAGGATTTTGTGGATGTATATAAATATCTAGAAGATATGTGAAGTATTGTACAAAGTTGAATTAACCTGTGTGGGTGTATGTACGTATACCCACATAGCTATGCATGTTTACACATCTGTGGTATGTATGCATGTATATACATGGTCTGGGTGAAGCTGCATATATTTCTGTGCAGATATATATGTACAAATAATCATATATGTGAATACACATGAACACACATATGTGCATGACATATAAGTGTACTTAGAAGAATATTTTGTATTCTATAATATATATGTATGCACATAAGAAATGTACTGTTATGTGTTGTCCTGGGAGTGAGTGAGGGCTGAGGGCAGACTTGGTGGATGGCAGCCTGCCTTCTCTTCCTAGCACCCAGAGCTTGCATGCCAACATATGTGCAGTGGACTAGTTCCCTGTAAATGACCCCATGGCAATGTCTTTGTCTTTGAACATCTTTCGTGTGCCACCTAGCAATCGATAGCTGCTATAAACTTTCTTGGGGAAAACAAAACAAAACAAAACAAAAACAAAAAACAAACCTTTTTAAAGCAATGTGCCTTGATTTACTTTTTCAATGCCCCTGCAAGAATAAGCAGCTGAATTCACTGTGGATTTCTTACAGGGAGGCTCCTATGGTATGGGAGAGAAGAAAGGAAACCTATGTCTGAAGACCTAAATTCCAATCCTGGATTTTCAGTTTACAATTTGACACGTTAATCTGCCTCAGGTTGGCTCAGTTTCTTCATTTAAAACATTCACTTGAGGACAAACTGGTAGTGAGGTGGTTAAGTCACTGGATTTCCACATGGCCAGACATGGTTGGAGTCCCAGACCTAATGACTTGAAAATCACACCAGGCATGTGGACATGAATGCCACTCTCAGGAAGAGAACAGAGGAAAAGGCAT